GGGGGGGGGGGGGGCAAAGGGATGGAGGAGAGGAAAGAGTGTGAACTGCAGCAGCAGCAGGCTTTTCCTGGTTTCCATCCAGAACTCAAGATGGCAACTCTTTCCAAATGTGCCAATTTCACTAAGATTCATTAAGTTAATTCCTACCAAGCTTGTTAACATATTAGAAACCAGCTGGTCCAATCAGAGTAATATTCATCCCCAGCTCTTCTCTCCTCCCTTTATTTCCCCTTCTGAACCAGAGTGCTGACTAAGCACTAAGCCCTAAGGCAGATTCAGGAAGTGGATGGATGCAGATGAAGGCCAGTTCAGAAACAGGGCATTTCTGCACAAGGGAAAAGCAGCATGCCAGAGCTGCTGGATGTAACACCAGCAAGACACCCCCAGGGCTGGTTGAACCGAGGCAGAAGAGCTGACGGGGCCACACACGCTCGGGTTTCAGCGGCTGGGTCTCTCCAAAGAGGGCGCTGTCCTCCGCGGGTTAGCACAGCACCACGTTATGCAACACCGCACTGTGCTCTGGGCGTTCGGAATTCAGCCTGACTCCAGTTCTGGGGGCAGGCTTGGCACAGGTGCGCTCACAAAGCGCACCCAATGAACCCAAAGTCCTTTCCCTTTTATCCTCACAACAGCCCTGCGAGGTGGGTTAGGCTGCGCGCCAGTGACTGGGCCAAAGCCGCCCAGTGGGCTCCCCGGCCGAGTGGGGATCGGAGCCCGGATCTCCCCGCCCCGGTCCAGCATGCCTCCCACTACACACCGGCTCCCGTGACCTGGAAGGCCCTCGCGAAGTGCCGCATCACGGCAGGTACGGCCACTGCTCCTGCCGCTTCGGCCGCCGCGGAGGGGCGGCGGCAGAGGCAAGAGCATTCAGAGGAGCCTCCCGCGACACCAGCACCTGCGGAAGCCCCTACCTTGTAGGCCACACTGTTGGAGGAGTCCACGATGATGAACAGCGGCTTCCTTGTGAAAGGGTAGAGATCGCCAGGATGCAGGCTGAAAGGGAGGGCAGGCAGCCTTCAGAGGGTGTCCCGAGCAGGGAAAGGCGGCCTGCTGCTCGGCACCCCCTCCCAATCGACCACTGCCCTCTCCTCAGGGGCGAGGCCACATCGGAAAGCACCAGGCACTGGGAGGATGGAAGGCGTGGCGCTTTTGAACTGCGGCGCCTCCTGTCTGGATCACGCACGCTGCCCCCAGAAACGCTAGGCAGACCGTCCAGCTGGCTGCCTTAAGGGCGCCTTCCAACCTAGCATAACCCAGGAACCTCTTCCCCACCCCTTCTGATTTATTGTGAAGCTCCGAACTGGTGCCTGGGAGCTGCTGCTCCCTCCCTCCCTCGCCCCCTCCCTCCAAATCCCTTTTCCTTTTGTGTTGCGTTGTCCATTAAAAATAACGGATTCAAAAGTATGATATGAAATAAGCTAAAAATCAGGAGGGGGCAGGAAGGCTGGTGGGTGCCAAAAGGAGGAGAAAGGGGCACAGCAGTCTCCCTGGCTGCCGCACGGGAACGCCCGGAGGCAGCGGAACGGGCTACTCACCAGTGCATCTCCTTGTAGGACTGGTTCCTCTTGTGGATGCTGTCCCCATTTATAATGTCCCGGTTGCTGTTTGTCAGGACACCCCCGAAATCATAGGGACCTGCAGAAGGCAAAACAGGAGAGAGGGTGAATAGCAGCTACCTGGCGAGGATGGAAAGGAAACAAACACGGAGTGCGAGGCAGCCACCCCAATCGGGGAGACAGGCAGAATTTGCAAGCGTCTGCAGAGTATGAGCTGAATGACTGGAGCAGAGCCAGGTGCCCGCTCCCCTTCTGCACTGCTTTCCGCCCAGGGAAGCCAAAGCCCTCGACAAATTCATGGAACAGGGATGCAGAATCTCCTTCCACAGGAGGGCCGAATTCCATCCTGGAGATGATGCCGGGGGTTGCATTCCAGGGCTGGGCGGGTCCAAAGGCAAGAGGCAGGGCCTGTTTTAGCAAGAGTGGCCAGATGGCATGGTGGGAAGGAGCGGAGGACCATGGAGGGCACCCAGAAACCTGAAGCCAGCACTGCTGGAACTCAGCACCAAGCCAAGAACCAGCACTGAGGATAAAAGTTGCACGCTCAGTTAAGTAAGAGCTGAGCCACGACAGGTATCTCACACCGAGTTAGCTCATGCTCAAATGGGAGAAGCCGCTGATGGCTCTTCCCCACTGGACTGCAACCCTAGGAAATTCATTCCTGTCTTTCGGATGGAGAAATAATGGCACCAAAGCTGGGGAACCACCCAATGGTGGTGGAGGGAAAGGGAGAAGGGCCACCTGGGAAATCTCACAGGGCCGGATTTGGCCCTCCAGGTGTGATATTCTACACCTCTGCTATGTCATTGATTGTGCCTTGATTGAAATTTGGAAGCGCTCCAACAGACTGGATAGAAATGGCCGCCTGAGCTGGACTTGGATGGCTGGGCCAGGCCCTGAAAAGCCGTTTTGTCCATGACATTAGAAGCCTCTGTAAGTGAAACCGTGTTTATTTCACACCAGAAGGATCAACACACCAAGATCTGACACCCATGCCACTGCGGAATCAGTCCATTCGAGAGCCAGAATGCACCACGGGGAGGAGCCATCTAGAGCCTTTGCAGAATTGCCACCCACCTCCACCTCCACCTCCACCGAACTGTCACAGAGGGAAGAGAGCCCGGAGTGTGCTTTGGAAAGCTCCGAAAAAGCGGTGTGGGAAAGATGTATTTGTTGATCTCAATTACAGGACTGACTAATGGCTTTCTTCTGGGATTCATTCCTTTCCCACAATGCCATTTTCCAACTGGATGTGCACTTATCTGCATGACCCTGCCAACGTTCCATCGAGTCTTGTTGCTGAGCTCGTCTTCCATGTTGGATCTAGCAGGGGCTCGATGGCACTTACTCCCAAGACTGAAACGCAAGGATTAACACTTGCCATCGACTGAGGGTGGACTTAAGAAGCTGGTTGTTTCCTAAATATGCCAATGCGTCACTTTAGCCATTTTTCACAGCCACAAACGTGGTCTTTGAATTGACCCTAGAGATAAAGTTTATGTGCCCAAATGTGGGTAAGAGCTCAGCCGCAGCAGGCACCCAAGTGAACGCCTAGCAACAGCCTCTGGGGACGTGAGACACAAAATCACATGGGGAATGATCAACAGGTAGCCAACACCTGTGGTCTCACAGTGGCATCATCCAGCAAGCCACCGGAAACGTGCAAGTGATCTCCAAAGGGGCAGGCAGCTCCAGGCTTGCCTTGCCCCTCCCTGCCAAAAGGAACACACAGCCCCAACACAGCACTCCCTGGGAGCGCAGGCTCTGCCCCGCTTTGTTGGCGGGGGAACAAGAGCCTATGGGATGCTGCACCCCCGGTCTCTGGAAAGAGCAAGGCAGAAGCCAAGCTGGCCTCGTAGATCGGCTGAAAAGGAATGGCTGCAGTGGCTTGTTTCCCACCCGCTGCCAGAAAGAACTTCCGTAAGAGCCAAGAGCTTGGTGTCTGAGTTTTGCCTTTCTCTCCTCCCTCTGAATCACATTTCCTTTCGTGCTGCATCCTTCAGCTGCAAGCCTGCGGTCAGGGACAGTCGAGTGATTCATCTCTGCAAGCTGCCCTGGGAGGGGCGGCCTGCGCTCAGGGTGACCGCTCCCTCAGTGGGCCAGAGTGGCATGCCGCAAAGGGGCAGGCCTGTTTGCCCGTTGAATTTCCATCCCAGTTTTCCACCCCACTGAAGCCAAGAGAGCAGAGCAGGCTGAGGGACACGCTCCTGCAACTGGCGGGTGCCAAAAGAGCTGTCTGTGGGCGCCCTGGAGACCCTGGCCTTGGGTTCACACCCCACCTGGAACTGGCAAAGGAGTGAGAACTCTAGAAGACTCTCCCAAGGACAGAGGCGGGCACTTGAGAAGGGCTCATGCAGCACCCCCAGGCAGAACACACAAGCGACTGAAAGAGCAACAACAAACCTGGTACCGAGCGCACTTTGCAGCTGCCGCCAAAGCTGCTGTGTTCTTTAAAAAACCCTGTAAACCTTTCGTTTTCGGTTACAGGTTTTTTAAGCCACCCACCAGGCCCCAGCATAAATCCCTGGCAAGGACTATGAATCATGCAAGGAAGATGAAACAGGCATGCATTTGATAAAGGAATGCAAGTCTTAAGTGGATGTGATATTAACTTGGAGGGAGTTACTTTGCTGAATGCAAATGTGCTACTGTGAGAACCAATTAATTTCTGTTTCGGGGGTGGGATCCAGTCATTCAATATCAGCCAATTTTAATGGATTTTCATGAGGGAAGGAGAGGGAAGGAAAGGGCTGTTTGAAGACACACAGCAACCGCATCCCAGTACTTTTTGCCAGGTTGGTTACACATGGGGGGAGGGGGGTGGGGAGGGGAGGGGGGGGAGTCACCAAAGTCATGACAAGGGCTTGAATTGTCATGATCGCTAAACAGGAAAGCATCACCACCACCTCTGTTTCCAAGCACAGCCCTCTCTGGCCATGCTAGTCTTGGCATGGGATCTTTGGGGTCAAGCTGTATAGAAAAACAAACAGACAAGACTGGGGAGGCCAGGAGAATTCCAGAAGCATTCAGAATTTCTGACACCTAAGGCACAGTTCAGACACTAACCAGATTCATGATCACCTCTGCTATTACTTGAGCAGGCCTGAGGGTTTTGGCTTTGGCCAGCAAGCTAATTAGGATCGGGGCACTAATTAGGGCATAATGCTGTGTGTCCTGCATAAGGCCTTGGAACACACAAGCCCAGACCGTTTCCCCCAACATGTTTCTTCTCTATTTTGCATGGAACGTGATGACTTCATGGGTCGTCTGTGGTTAAATCATGGCCTGTTGGTGCAGCTAGGTCTGGACGACACTGTTAGCGACGTCCTGCAGTGACCCAAGGTTCACTGACAAGCTCCGTTCGACCCGCCCTTGCTCCTTGAGCATCGGCTGGTGTGTCACCTGATCTGAGTCAATGTGGATGGCAGACCTGTCATTACATGCTACCTTCAGAGGGCAGTTACCTTGAATGGTGGGATATAAAGAAGTATAAGAAATAAATCTGGCCACAGTCCTATGCATGTTTAGCAGGAAAAGGTCCTACCTTTTCCCAGCCGGGCATGTCCCAGCTTTAAGCCATTTAGGATTGTGCCTGAAACAGCTTCAACCTGCCCATAACTAAGCCCGAGGAAAGGCATTCAGCCCTCCAAAATGGAAGAACCCACCCCCCCCCCCGCCTGCCTGGAAGTCAAGGAGCATTTAGCAACCACTGACTGGGGCGAAGGTGGGAGGGCTGCATGGCCATCTGGGGAGCCTGGGCAGCAGAGCCCCCGGCCCAGCACTGTCGCACCCCGGCGGGACGTGTCTGAACCAGGCCTAATGCCTCCGATGCCCGGAAGTCTTCTGGTGTGGCCCAAGACGGACTCGAGAAGCAAGCCCAGAGGCGCATGGGGCACTCCACTGCCATGCCCGCCAAAAGGGGCCGACCCACTGCGGGAAGCAGTGGGGGGAGCAGCTTATCCTTTGAAGGAACACTTCCAGAGGCCCCTCCTGCCAGAAAGAGAATTCAAGCCCTGCTCATGACAGGGGCATTCCTTTATTTGTACCTTCACTATCCGAACGACCTGAAGGGAACACGCCAGTGGCCGACAGGTAGATCAGAAGGACGCTATTTGCCGGTAGCTCCTGAAATGTTGACAGGGGGAGAAAAAAGGGGGTAAAGGAGGGTGGAGGGCAGGGGTTATTTACCTGTGCATCAGTTAAGTGTACATACTACCCAGCTGGCAAAAGCCTTCAGGGTGGTTTACAAGCATAAACCCCCCAAGACACAGCGATTTCAAAATGGCCAAAGAAAAGGTAATGTTAAACAGGTATTTAAAATATTAAGCTGACAGCAGAATCAGTCAGAACAACAGATCAAAGATTACACCTCTGTGGGGAGAGAAAGCTGGCATCTAGCTGTAGACAGTGAGGGCACCAGGCAGATCTCCCTGGGAAAGGCATTCTGCAGACCGGGGACCACTGCAGGGAGGGCCCGTGACCTCCTGGCGACACTCTCGTGGGCAGCAGCTGCAGAAGAACCTCTGAAGAGGGACACAGCGACTGGGCCCAGCCTTACGGAAGCAGGCACTCCTTCCAGTCCAGGGGTTTATGTGTGACTGCATGGAGTGGCAGACTGATTTTCGTCTTGCGTATTTGCATCAAGAATAACATGTGGGGGGCACAACTGTCTGTGGCTTGCAGTCCTGATGCCCACCTGCCACCTGCCATACGAGCAGCAGAACATCTTTGGAGACCTGCTGCTGGGGACCATGGATGTGCTGCTTTCTCACAGGCAGCTGGGTGGCTGCTGTGGAACCTGGAGTCCAAAGCCAACCTCTTTGGCTTAGAATTTTGAGAGTGCCACAGGCACGGTCACAAAATGGCTGGCACTCATTGCTTCACCCACGGCTGCCACAATGTGCGTAGGTGGTTAAAACCCCCCAAAAGCAAACCTGCTGAAACGGAAGCAAAAACAAGCATGGGGCTGGCGGGTGGCAGTTGGCTTTGCAGCAAGCTAGTGTCTCAATCAAAAGTAAGAATGGAAAACCTGAGGAAATGAAATGAACGTCAGGAAGGGGGCGGTGCCTGGCATGCGACCAGAAAGACCACTGGCCTCCACAGCTAGCGGTGCTCACGGGCCACAGGTGAATTCCAGGCGCGGCTGCTTCTCTTCTGACCCTCCTTGGGGGGCGGGGCCAGGGAGCTGAAGGGTGTGCTATTCTCGTCCCCCTCATCCTAGATTGGCCTTTACTATACAGACATGGCCGCATCTGTAGCACAAGCAGTATTTTGATTTGTTCACGGCCCTAGCGCTCATTTGTAAGGACTTTTTCCCACCTGAGGCAAAGAACAGGACCGTCTGTGCACAGAAGCTAAGCAGAGCAGCAACGAGTCCTTTTCCAGCACAACGAGAAGGCAATGTCCCGCACTGAACGGGAGGACGGCAGTCCAGTCCAGGGGACGCAGAGCTCTCCCCTCCAACCCTCCACTGCCTCCTCCAAGCCATGCTGATTGTTGACATTCCCGGACTGTCAGAGCAGTACGACAGGGGAGCCAAGCGCCTGGGGAGGGGTGGGCTCTCCCCCACTGGAGGCACCCAAGAAGCAACTGGACAGCCGTCTGAGAGGGAGGGTGTGACTTGGTGTCCTGCACTGAGCAGGGGGTTGGATCCGAGGGCCTTCCGGCCCCTTCCAACTCTGCTATTCCGTGGTTCTGTGCCTCAAGGCAGGGCCGGCCCTGCTCACTTGCAGCTGAACTTGGCAGACGTGCAGTGGGAGGTTCTGCCCCGCTAAGAGGCATCCCCCAAACCCTCGCGTGGAAGCTTTGCACACACCTTAAAGGATGCAGCCAGGAAGGTGTACAGCTGGCTGAAGGTTGGCTTGTACAGCAAATACTTATGGGGATTTTCCCTCCTTGCCGGCTTTTCAGTCGTCTCCTGCATGAGATAAAAACAGGTTCCTAAACCAACTCTTGCAGTTTGCACTGAAAAAGGGAGAGACCAAATTATTCATCAGAGCATGGCTTTCTCGAGCATTACACATCAGCCCAGGTGGAACTTGGAAGGAGGGAAAAACTATTGGCTTCACATTTCCCCAGCACAAGAAGTGTCAATTGCTAAGCTGATGAGTGAAAATATGGAGCAAGAAACTTGCCTGCAACCCGGGCTTGTTCATTTGAGATGCTAAATTCATTGGCTCCCTCTCCAGCGCCTGCAGCATCCGGAACATATCGATTGTCAGCTCACTGAATTTCACCTGGGAGAGAAGCCATGGCAATCTTAGTGAGGTGTCTCCAATTCTGGGGTCAAGGGTCACATCTGGAATTTTCAGACAGTGCTGTGAGCGCTCGTGCAAACTGCTGCCACGTTAAAAAGGGATAACTCTGCAGGAGTATCGACCTTCCATTAGCCTGAGGGTCAAATTCCTTTCCAGGGAAGCTCTGGAGGTTGCACTGCAGTGATGGCTGGGTTTGGGACACGCTGCTCCCCTCAAAGAGGTGCAAAGCTGAGAATAGTGCCATTGTAACACAAGGCCCTTACTGCCAAAACCTCAGCCTTGGGAGAGGCATTTCAACCTTTCAGAAGTGGGGCGGGGGAGCTGGGAAACCTCCAAATGCCTGCAAGGGGTCGCAGAAAAGTGGGTGGGGAGAGAAGAGCGGTGGCCACCTGCAAGGAAACGGGATACTGGACTGGGGATGGGCTCTGGAGCCTCCAGCAATTCCCCTGCACCCGTACCAAAAACCTGCTGATCCTCGGTGACACTGGACACAAGGGTTCTCCGGGGGACCCCACCTGATTGTTGCAGTTGCCGATAATCAGGGCGTCGGCAAGAGTCAGCTGCCCCACGATCATGCCCTGCTCCAGCAGGGGGGCGCCCATGTCGGAGAGGCGGTTGGAGAGGATCACGACGGTGTTGTCATCGTTCAGGATCATCACGGGGTCTGCCTACAAAGACAGCCAATCCGGAGAGTGAGCCTCGTGTCTCTACTGTGAGAGACCCTGATGAGAATGGCTCAGCCCAGGTCAAACCTATGGCTAGCTCGAAAGCAGATATTCAGCCAAAGACTGGGCTGGTGCCTGTGCATCTTCCAGGCCCCCTTTCTGTAAATCCAGCTGATGCACTAAGCTGGGTAAGTGGAGCAGAGGAATGCCAAAGGCACCATCAAAGCAACCACCAGCTTTATTCGGGATTCTGCCCCCCAATTAACCTCACTGACATGCCATTTGCTTTCAGAAGCTTCGCTGCAGCAGGAGGATCAGCTGCATGAGCCAAATGGCAAGGGAATTTTCCTTTCACCACAAGCCAGTTTCCTGAGACTGCAGACTCTCCTCCACCGGACAGGGAACCAAAGGCTGCTGGGAGGTTGCCTCCCAGGATAAAAACCAGGCTAAGTGGGAAGACCAGCCTATCCCCATTTAGCATTTAGAGTGGGAGCAGCTGCAGGGGGCTTGTTTTGCCCTTCATGGTCAGAAGGAACACCCATGAAAACTGTGAAACTAAGAACTGATACTGGAGGTTTGCTTCTTTTTCCCCTCCTCCCTCCCAACCCCCTTTCCTTTTATGTCATGTCCTTCAGATCATAAGCCTGAAGCCTCATTATTCAGCCTCATAAGCCACCCACAAATCATCCAGCCAGGGGAACTGGTGTGCTCTGCAGAGAGTTCCCCATAAAAACAGCTCAAAGGAACTGAAGACAACGGTAGCTCTTTTGGTTGGGCGGGTTGGGATTATCCCAGACTGTACCCTGACCAGTGCAGGGCACTTGTCAAAGGAAAATAAACTGTCGTGGGCTCTCATCTGTACCTCGATGAAGGCTGCCACCTCTTGGAGGACCAGGTTCCATTCCACCTGGTCCTCCGTGTTGAAGCGGTGTGTGTAATCTTCAATCTCTTCTGACAATTCCTGCAGTGAGCAACAGCAAAGAAAATCAGTCCAGCTTTGAGCACGTAAAAGAACTTTGCACAGCGTTTGGACTACTAAAGGAATGTATCACTTCCCCAAAAACAGAAAGCAGTCCTGACGCAACTTACAGATGCAATACTGTCCAGGAGTAATTAGTAACACAACAGTACGCAATACTACACATCCATGATTAATAGGAAGGAGAAGAGATTCAGTGAGTGCCATTTTTTGGCAGAAAAGCAGGCCCTGCATCAACTCAATCAATCAAATAAGCCAGCAGCAACACAAGAATAGAAATAAAACCAAATAACTGATAGGAAGCTGGTGTACCTTCACAAGGTCCTTGACGACATCCATTTTGTTGAGCAAAAGGCAAACAACGATGAACCGTGCATAATAGCGGAGTTTCTTAACTACCAGTTCAGGCCTGGGAAAGGGAAAGCGAGCAGGAGAAGATGGAGAACTATTCAGCAGGGGGAAGAGAAAGAAGACCTGTTGAGGAGGAAATCATGGCTCCTGCACTACTGTGCCGTGATTTGAACCACAGGAAAAGTCTAACCCCCCATGTCTGTTCAGTCCCTGGCGCTTGGGAGGGCCAGTCACTTGAGAAGTCCACAGGCCTTTCTGTTACCCGCCTGCACAGCTGTCCAGCCAACAAGAGAGGCATGCTGTGCATGCCAAGAGTCCCGGGTTCAATCCCTCACTGCCCCTGTTTAAAAAGATCAAACCGCAGGGGCACAGAGGGAACTGCTGTGTCCAGAGTCAGGCCTAGGGCCCTCCTAGCCCAGCCATGTCATCACCGGCTGGCAGCAAAGGCTCTCCAGGGTTCCAGGCAGGGATGTTTCCCGCCCACCCTGGAGATGCTGCCAGGGATCCAACCTGGCCCCCTCTGCATCCAATCAAGGGCTGCACTGCTGAGCCAATGGCCTGCAGAACAAGCCAGTGGTGGAAAATCTCTCCCTGTCCAGGCACCCAGGGACTCCATGGCAGTCAGAATCCGTGGCACCAGGCTATGTGGACAGGAAGTCTGACCCAGGTAAAGTGGGTTCTTGTGCTCCTACTTCCTGCGGGCAACTCTAAATTGACAGGCAGGAGGATAAAAGGAACCTGGTGAACAACCTAAGAGGGAGTTGGTATTACTTGGAGTCTTCCTCTTTGCTGAAGCTCTCTAAAACAATGGAGCAGGATTTCCTGCTGCGGGGTGTGCAATGCCGACGTAGCCGAGGGCTGCTACCCACCACCGACAGATTCTCGAGGTTTAAGACGCAGCACTCGCTGGCTTTCAAGAAATTGCAGAGCTTGCAAGAGGGAGGCATGGCCTGACCTGTCTTCTTTGTTGACTTGGGAGTAGTAGGACCTCTGACGGATAGCTGAGTAGAAGGAGAAGGCTTCGTTCAGGTAACTGGTTTCAGATGTGCGAAGACTGCGAAAGGAAGAGGCGGGCTCAGGACTCTGCTGCACTGGCACATGCCGCTCGTCTCCGCCCAGGTCAAGGCGAGGGGCTCCCCATCCCACCACAGGGCACCTGACACTGCACTGAGCTGTTCTGCCACGGAGCAACAGGCCTGTCTCTCCAGCAGTGGCGCCCATCTGTGGAGCGCTCACCTTAGAGAGACTGACCTGGCGCTTGAGCTGGGGCCTTCTTGGAGCTTTTTGCTCTCCCAGGCATTGTAAGAACTAGTTTTAGCATTTTCATATATTTCCACTGTTTTAATTTTCTGCTGTTTTTATATACTGCGCTGTTTGTACCTCATTCTGGCAAGTTTCATGTTGGTTTTACCATGGGCCACTTTTGTCATTATTTACCTTTGGCATTCTGTGGTTTCAAATTCATTGTAAATCACCCAAGAAACACCAGTTATTGGGCTATCTCAAAGTGGAGGAGCAACAGCAGCCATGTTTGTTGAGGCCTGCCTAGGCCAGCAAGCCAGCATCAAGGCACAGCGGGGCACCGGTTCAAGGCCCACACCTGGCTGGTGCCCCCTGGACTGGCTCCTCCTCTTTCCGGCTTCAGCCTCCTTGCCTGGGCCGGCTGTGGCGAGGCTGAGAAGGAAGATCGGCAGATGCCACGGCTGCAACCACGCAGTGGGAGAGAAGCAAGAGCCACAGGACGGCCCCCGCAGGGGTCATGCCCAACATTGCTGGCACTGTGGCCCAGTTTCCTGGTCTCACAGGAGCCTACCTGATGCCTCTGGGAAACCCACAGGCAGGACGTGCGGGCAACACCACCCTCCCACCTGTGTGCTCCAGCATAACACCTCTGAATATCAAATACTGAACTGCAGTGGCAATGTGAGCAGGAACCCCAGTTTGTAACTCACGAGCTGAGGGTCAAGGCTGGGGAAAAGCCACTTACTAATAGTGGTAGTAAAGCTGCCCGATCTTGGAAGCGATCTCGCCGATTTGCCAACGCTTCAGCCCATACCGATTGTCAAGAACTTGCCTTCCGGTTTTGCCCCACCAAGAAAGAAAAAGGAGAGAGCGGGTCACATCCTGTACTTTCCACAGAGGATGCTATACCAGGCCCAGTTTTTTCCTTAATGTCTGGGATTCAACCATGGCAGTCTCTATTTCTCACTAGTGGAGCCCCAGCTGGGATGAGGCTAAGGGACACAAAGTCTCAGGAAGCAAGAACACCCAACTGGGCTGACCCACCCCATGGAGCATCCTTTAACTTCGCAGGATGCGAAGACTTTCCTTTAAAGTGAAGGACCACAAGGGTGGTGGCCGGTTTGCAGGGGAAGCCGTATGAGGCAAGACTGAGGGAACTGGGTCTCTTCAGCCTGGAGAAGAGGAGACTCAGAGGGGATCTGTTGGCGACATGCAGGTATGTGAGGGGATGTCACACGGAGGTGGGGAGAGACCTGTTCTCCCCTGCAGAGGAAGGCAGAACGCGCTCCAACGGAGCAAAGCTCAGGGAGCCAAGGCTCAGTTTGGATGCCAGGAAGCACTTCCTGACAGTCAGGATCCTGAGGGTGTGGAATGGGCTTCCACGAGAGGTCGTTGAGGCCCCACTGGTGAGGGGTTCAAGGATAGGCTGGACAGGCACATGGTGGGCATGTCGTGAGCGGAGCCGGCTGGAGCCGGGGGTCAGACTAGATGGCCCGGTAGGCTTTGTTTCTATGTTAATCCATCCTGAACCGCCCACCATCGGCTTCATGGGAGGTCCCTGCTGGGTTCTAGTGCGACCAAGTGGGGACTGCCTGTTCTTCCTCATCAGCCATCATTCTGCACCCAAGGAAGGATTCCTTGAGCAGGATGAATGGACCGTGCTCACTGCAGAGCCTTTCAGCCATGGCCCAAAACTCACTTTGGAGACACTCTTGAGGGCTGCATTCCAGTGGCTTGGAAAGCTGCCAAGCTTTAGCTCAACGCTCCTCCTGGCAGTTACTAAGCCTTGGGAAAGGCGATCTCCTTTCAGAAGGGAGCTCTAATGGCACACAACCAGGAAAGCCATCCAGTGGTTGGTCATCAGGAGCACGGGGCACGGACACCTGCAGCACCCTGGCTGCCCCGAGGCTCTTCTCCTCCTCGGTCCCAGCAACCCTGCGCTGGTCTGAGGGTGGCCGAAGAGGGCAAGCCACCGCCACCCCTTCCCCAGCCGCCCAGCACTGGTGAGCAAGGATCTGCTCCGTGCACCCCAGGAAGAGACCGCCCACTGTCGCAAGGTGGAGCTGCTTGCCCACGCGGGCTTGCCTCGTACCGGTGCTGCTGCTGAAACTTCCAGAGCTTGGTGTAGACGTCAAACGTCCTCCCAAAATATGACTGCCACTGCTTCTGGCCATACTGAGGCAAGTCTCTGCAAGGAATCAGAATGGAAGGAAGCAAGTATTACAAGCCACAGCAGTAAAAGGAGGGGCCCGCTGCATCAGGCACGGAGAGCCCGGGTGCAAGCCGGTGATCTCAGCAGGTGGGCGCCTGGGTTATGATGGCAGCGCTTTCTCCCGTAGCGGTCTGGTGCCACTGTGGCCTTGGCTTGGTGGCTCCTGGCAGTTCTGCAGGGCTCCACCCATGGCAAGAAGGGTCCACTAGGAGAAGAGCCTTCCATGTGCTGGCCCTTTCCCTTGAGGTCCTTGCTTCTGGAGGCCAGGCGGCCCCAACACGCTCTTGGATTTGGCGCCTCCTGAAAACCTTTATGTCAAGAAGCCCTCCTGAACTCACCAGTCATGGTCTTATTGACTGGGTTCTCCACTTAATTGCTCTAGCTTCCACTGTTTACTGCTCTGAAACTTTCATCCCGGAATACAGAGCGGCACATATGGCATGCAGAGAAATAAACTGAGCTGAGTGCCTTGCTATGCATCATGCACTTCTCACGCAGGTAGCCTTCCGAGAGGGTGGGTGTGGGCGTCTTCTACCTTAGAAAACTATCCTGAGGAGCCATAGGATAGGTCAAAGTCCAGGTCTTGCCCTTGGGGGAAACGGTCTGTGGTCGGAGCAGGGACTGTTTGACTTCAAAGGTGCCCTGCTCCACACTCACAGCTGAGGCCTTGTAGCTGCTTTTCCCCCAGGTGGGTTGCCTCTCTGAAGACAGCGGCTCATCTTCGGATGTGGCAAAGAGAGCAATAAGGTGCTGAAGAAGCACAGTGGGGACTCAGCCTCGTTGCCGTGCGAGGAGGGAAAAACATTCGGACAACTGAAGTGGCCCCCTGAAGTTCTTCGGAGACCACGGGGCACACAGAGGCCTCCACGGCCACCACCCTCCTCTTGCCTGCAAGCCTCTACGTTTGGAAGGTTACAGGCAGCAACATGGGATAGGAAGAAGGAAAGACACCGAACAATCAGCCGGTGATACATATATTGGCAAAGGTTCCCGACTGCTGATAACTGAACACCAGCCCCCTCGCAGCCGCTGTGTGTCTCTCTCAGAAAGCAGTCCCCTCCCCATTTCTCCCTGTTTTTAAGAAGTGGCACATTCTGATCCATTCTGGGATGCAATAGGAGGTGTAAAGGTCACTCATGGGGCTGGAAGTCTCCCGAAACAAAACCTGCTTCATTTTAGATGTGTGAGACTTTTCAATAGATCAACAAGGCCTCCCGATCCACAAATGGAGAACAAAAGGGAGTGAAAGCCTCTCCTGCCGCCTCCTCCTCTCTCACCACAAGTGTCACAACCCGCTGTGCCTATGTGCTTGCCTTTCAAGGTCACCCCAGTCTTATGACTCAAGGGCTGCAAGCCGGCGATTGGTTCTACCTCCTGAGCCACCATTTTGCACTGGCGCCTGGATCACAGATCTGAGGGTCCCAGGAAAAAGATTCCACAAACTGAAATTCTGCCCACGCTTGGCCTAAGGGCACCCCTGCAAAGCCACTTCTCTTCTAAAATAACACACAACATGCTGCATACCTCCCAAGTACACAGCTTCTATACCAGGGTGGGGCCCATCATTCAGCCAGAGGGGCAAATTCCATTTTGGAGAAGTTCTTGGGCCCACATTCTCCTGGTCAGCAGGACTAAAAGCAAGAGGAGCAGAGCTGGCTGCCCACACTGCAGCTTGTTCTGCTGGTAACTAGGCATTAAAAGGCATTTCATCCTTTTAGACTAAGAGCTGCACAAAAGCCAGGAAACAAGCAAATGACTGGTGGCTGCCAAAAAGGGGTTGGTCTGGGAGCCAATTCAGCCCCCCGACCTGTCACTGGCCACGGCTCTTTTGCTCTGCTTGTTCACCAACGAGTCCCCCTTCTGATCTCAGGCAATGCCTGTTACAAGGTTCTCCATGAGTGGTGGGAAAGGGTCTGTCCCCACACTGCTGCACTCGCCCCATTAAATTTCAGGGTGGGGGGGCTGCGGTTAGTCCGGCTGGACAGTGCTGGGCTGCACAGGACCAGGCTGCCTGGTTCAGCACCAGACAGCACCGTGCATTACGCCAGAGTAGGACACAGAATAGCCAAGTTGCAACAACACAGGACCAGGCTGGCCATCAGGAGAAGCTTCCTCACTGCCAGAGCAATGCGACAGTGGGACCGGCTGCCTGGAGGGGGGGGGGGCTCTCCCACACTGGGGACATTCAGAAAGAAACTGGGCAGCCCTCTGAGTGGGATGGTGTGAATTGGTGTCCCGCAACCCAGTGGCCTTCCTGGTCCCTTCCAGCGCTGCTGTTCTATGATTCTACAACTCTATGCATGCTGATTGAAGTGAAAATGACATGCAGGACAGCGTAGGGAGGAGGAGATTTTGGAGAGGGGACACGACTCGTGGGTGGCAGAGGGAGCTGACACACATTGCAAGCAGGTGCTGGGATCCGATGGCAAGAAAAAACACACAACTTCCCATAAAGAAAAGAGCGGAAGAGAGTAGGAGCACCAATGGGAAAGCAGCGTGCTCACCCACGCAGCTAACTTTTTACAAAGTATTCCTATAATAAATGGGTGAAGGGGTGAGGAAAAACAACACCTAACAAGGACAAGAAGTGGGTCATTCCAAGAGGTTCGACTGGACTCATCATAAAATGCTTCTACCTCTTCAACAATCAGGTGCTGACTTCTGTGCAAAACAGTCACTAAAGGCTGTGCTGACGCGAGGCACCTGAACCCACAGTCAGGCCATCTGTGCCAGCTCCTCTTTCACTTTTCTCTCATATTCAGAACAAACTGGAGCACGGAAGAGGGAGAGAGGCCCTCAGCAAGGGCTCTTCAAGGTCAGGCAAAGTCAGGGCGTGAACTGGGGCCACTGGCCACCTGTCTTTTTAGCTTGGGCTGTGCTGAAAGGTGGTGCCAGCGCTCTGCCCGCCCACTCGCCCATCCTCTCCGGACACCTTCCGTGGGCCGAGACCATGCACGGGCCCCTCCTTCTCAGAACACAAGAGCCACGATCGCCTGGACCCCCTGTGGCGAGGAAGAGCTTGTGGGCACCGCGAGGCTGGCCAGGCCAAGCGGCTCAGCAATGAGCGGAGCAGCTTTGCTTGTTTACACTCATTTTGCGACATTGGCAAATCACTTCCCTCGAGGAAAGGCCCAGGCCGGGCATGCACAGCAAAGGAAATTCTCCCATGGAGGGCCAGGCTACGTGGCAGGGAACATCTGCTGGAAAGAGCACTTTCCAGGAGGCAATGAACATCCAGAAGGGTTGGGCTTCGAGCTAACTTGCAGTGGTTGGGAGTTCCAAAGACACGAGAGGCCCTGTTCCAAGCCATGAGGGACCAGAGCTCCAAAACCTTGGGCACACCAGGAGGCCACCTCCTGATGCAGGTGGCAACCCAGCAGGATAGTGAGGCATCGCAAGGAAACTGGCCCAGTTTGCAATGACCAACCTTCAATTCTCCAACCACCGGCCACAAACAGCCAGCATCCACAAAGGGGAAAGAGGCTGTCTTTTAAAATCATGGGCAAGGCTGGCTGGCTGGCGTTGCAGGAAGGGCACTGTGGAAAAGATACAGGCGGCATGTCATCTGTGCTCTTGAAAATGTAATACCAGCTCCAACAGACTTGAAAGGTTTCCCAGCCCTCGCTAGGATGTTCTTAAATGCTACATGACGAGAGAAAGGCTGTCTTGAATGACTCAAAAAAGCACCTGGACAGGAGACACAGTGTGTAAGCGCTGGGTCAACTCTCCCTTCCTTATCCATCCATCCATTCATTCATTCACTGATACCCACCAGGCTGCCCCCCCCCCCCGGGCTTCTGATTGTACCAAGACTTGCTTTTAACCAGCCAGTCATCTGGCCTGCTCAGCACCCTCACTTGGGCTCAGAAGGGGGGCTTTGTGCTTTGGAGCTCAGAGGCCACCCCTCCACCGTGCCCTTAGGTTCTTGGGCAGGTTTTTTTTCTTTGAGTCCCACCAGCTTGCCTTCTGGGAAATGAGCATTTTGTGACGGGCCCTGCCCACCCTGGCAGCCAGTTGGTGAGTTGGGCCGCGAGAGCCCCTTGAAATCTCAGCTATGCTCAATGGCCTGCAGCAAGCAGCTTGGTCTGCAGCCGAGGGTGGTGCTTGCCTTCTTTACTGTACAAGTTTCAGTACTGCTTTTATCTCCCAGGGGTTTTCTTCCTCCTTGCAAGGAAACTTAGATGACCTGCTGGTCGTCCTCCTTTTATCCCTCTCTCTTGCTCAGGGCAGGGCAAGGTGAAGGAAAATGGGCTCCTTTGCTCCCCTGCCTTGGTAAATCAACCTTACCTGCCTTGGCCTCCTCTACACAAGTTGGACTACAACATCCACCAGGCATGCAGGCTGGAAATGATGGGAGCTGAAGTCAGAATACATGTGGAATGCACCTGCTTAGGGAACTCTGAGGTAAACTCTGCTTATTCTGGCAAAACTGGGACCATCCGGTTTTGCCTATTCCATCCAGCGACATGCTGGCTGCGTCTCAGCCTTCCGTTTTGGAGCACCCGGTATCACTTCTGCAGGCTCTGTTCCTCTCGGCCACAGAGGGAAGATGCACCTGCGACTGCCTCTGCTGCTGAGCCCTGAGATGCCTGCAGAAAGTTCACGGCCGCAGAGCCTCAGGGATGGAGAGGGAGGGCAGCTCCCCCCCATCTCTCAAACGAGGGGGCAGGGAAGAGGTAGAGCGGGGAATAAACAGAGGGGCCTGCAAAAGGAGGGGCGCAGCAGGCGCTGCACTTCCTTGCCTCTAGAGCTTTCTGCCAAAGAATCTTGGTCTTGGGCTGGAGGGTCTCGGGATGTGCAAATCAGCAAAACCTCATTTTTCTACCAAGGATCAGACCAACTCGTGTCACCTCACAAGCTTTTTTCCCTTTGGCATGAAAACCTGCAAATGCTTACTTGGGTATGCATTTGGAGACATGCATGCTTTTCCAATCGATCAAGGCAAATTTGTGGGCACTTTTGCCAAAACTGTCAAT